AACCTTCTGGCCCTTAAATACAGTTCCTCATGTTGTGACCCAACCATAAAATTATTTTCGTTGCTACTTCATAACTGTAATGTTGCTACTGTTATGAATCATCATGTCAATATCTGATATGCAGGATGGTCTTAGGCGACCCCTGTGAAAGGGTCGTTCGACCGCCAAAGGGGTCGCGACCCACAGGTTGAGAACTGCTGTTCTAGACAGTGGGCTGCTGTCTGCTGACCACCAATGACGGGCAGACCAGGAGGTCTGCTGTGGTGGCTGGATGACACGGAGGTGACCCCCCCGCCTGCCTCCGGCCCCCTCTGCCCGGCCCTCACCGTCTCTCAGCCCGGCGGCACACGGCCCGACAGAAGTGCAGTGCAGCGCTGCTCTTGCCACCCGACTGGAAGGAGAAAGCGGGCGTTGGAGGGAGGGAGGGGAGGGCGGGTGAGACAGCGAGCTCCTCGCACCGAGGGTGGGCCCTGCCCCCAGCACGCAGTGTTCTGCATGCAGAGGGCCCCGCCGGGGCACACCCCTGGGCACCCCTTCAGAGAGGACAGGGCTGGGAGGGCAGGGGACGTGGAGGGCAGCTCTGTCACTGTAAAATACTGGAGAGGGGGACGTGGCCTGCAGCCACCCCAGGTGGAGGCTGCCCAGTACCTACAGGCAGAATGAAAGCCGTGAGAGGGGGCAGCTGGCCGGAGTACTTGTCGATCCACTGCTCCAGCTCCAGGACGCGCCCCGACTCAAATGTGGTGCGTCCTGAGGAGCCAAGGAGTAGGACACGGCCATGAGGCCCGTCGCCCCGAGCATCGAGGAAACCACCCGGTGCCCTTCCGCCCGGTGCCTTCCAAACCACTCCCACGACCCTCTCAGGGTCTGCGGGCCAGGCCGACGGGGTCCCACGTGACACCCAGGAGAGTCCCGCTCAGTCCAACCCCCGCAGGGCCCTCCCAGTACACAGGGCGGCTCAGAGAGCGAATTACTTAAGTGAGCCTCCCGGGCGGAGGAGCGGGGTGTCGCCAGGGCGGAGCCAACGTCCTGCAGGGAGCACTGGATCTGGGGAAGCAACAGAAGGCGAGAGTAAGATCTATCATGGTTCCTGGCTCCCCATGCAAAGGTGCCACCTGACAGCAAGGCATGCGGGCTGGCCTGGTGGGGGTGTCAGAGCTTTAATCAGCAGCATTGAAAGGCTAATTAGCAAACTGCCTGAACTTTCAGGGTGCTGGACACCAGCCCTGTGGAGAGGAGACCTGGCTCGCGTGGGGACAGCTGGGTTAGGAAGATAATGAGCGTCGAGCACCCAGTGACGGCCAAGAGGAATCTCCTCGCCCCGATCCTGAGTGGTTTATCTCGGAGGCTGTCATGTGCACTGCAGGCCGCATGCGGCATCCCTGGCCTCCAGCTGCGACAACCAAGCATGTCTCCAGACATTGGCGGTTTATCTCGGAGGCTGTCATGTGCACTGCAGGCTGCATGCGGCATCCCTGGCCTCCACCCACTAGCTGCCAGGACCTCCGCCTCCAGCTGCGACAACCAAGCATGTCTCCAGACATTGTCAAATGTCCCCTGGGGGGCAGAGACCACGAATGACCCTTTACATTCCCTTCTCTTGGAGCAATCCTCACCACTTGCCTGGGAGGGAGGATTATCTGGCTGTCCCCATTTTACAGATGGAGAAACTGAGGCTCAGAGGAAGAGTAACTAGTGCCAGGTGACACAGAGAGGAAGCGATGATCAAATGCCTAATCCAGTTATGGTCACCAGGCCTCAGGGATAAACAAAAAATGTTACTCACTTTCTCAAGCTCCTCAGCAAATGGGTGGCCCTTTTCCGCAATTAATTCCATAGCAAACCTATGTGGGAAAAGGAAAAAGAATCTGCCTCTAACATAACATCCCCAGGCCCTGCTTTGCTGTAAGGCCATGGTTCTCAGGTGACGGGCCATTCAGCTAACTTGGCTATGATAGCCTCGGTGTTATTTCCTGCTGGCAATAAGAACCTCACAACCTTCCACTTGGTTAAGGGTATTTGTTTCTCAAACGCCTTTTCTTATACCCATGACTCATCCAGTCAACAATTCCTGGTCAGTGCCTACTCTGGCCAGGTCCAGGCGATTCGGTCGTGAGCTCTATGCAGCAGGAGGGGAAGACATGGACTGACTATCACATGACTGAAGGTGAACTTGCAAACTGAGGTCAGTGCTCTGAAGGAAAGGGCTTGATTCCTGGAAAACCTGGCCTTGGCTAGGGCTCAGGAGGGCTTCCTGGAGGAAGCGATGCTGCAGTTGGGACTTTAAAGGCCGAATAGGAGTTTCCTGGGAAGGAGCAGGTGGGGGAAGGAAGGTGCCCAGGGCAGGTCAGGCACTGCCTCCCTGGGACTCTGCCCTCCACTTCTGTGCCGTCAGGGTCCTGGCAGGGGACAGACAGTGGTGCCCAGGGAAAAGCTGTGCAAAGGGGCGGCTAACAGAGCATGGGACGAGTTATGGAAACTGCTAACAGAGGCAAAGATCGGCAAGAGCCGAAGCCTGAGGGGACCAGGGAGGGTCAAAGGTGCCCTGGAGCCTGGGGAGAGCTGCTCCTCGGTGGGGGCCGCCACCAGGAGCCACACAGCGGGAGAGAGTAGGCGGGAGCCCAGCTACCGCCAGAGCCACCTGCAGCCGGGAGCCGGGCAACACCCACACCTCTCGACCCGTCACGGTTCCCGCGGTGCCTCCCACTGGCCGGGCCCACCTGAAAGCCAGAGGACAAAGGAATCAGCATGAAACCACCACCAGCTGATAAAGGTCAGCCCCGCCCGGGCACAGAGGCAAAGAGAATGGCTTTGGGAGGGCAAGCAGGACCACCAGGGCATCTTCCTAGCCCGCTTCCTGTTAGAACCAAGTACACGTGTAATCAGCAGTCTAGGTTGTCCTCCCCGCTGGGGGCACGGAGGGCGAGCCGGGCTGGGACACCTTCTGTCCCGCACAGCATATGCCTCATGCCCGACACGTGGCAGGTGCTCCCTGAGGGTGTTCTCCGGATGTCGGCCAGCTGTAGGCCCCTCCTCGGTGCTCGCCCCACCCCAGCTCCCACCACTTGTGGTCGCCCCTTTGGTGTCTGTCTTGCCCCACCCCTGCCCCACGAAGCAGGGCCGAGGCTCCCTGCTCAGCAGTGCCTGGCGCACAGAGGTGCTCAATCACTAGCTGACACAGGAAGCTTCCACACGAGGCTTTGCCAGTCTCCTGCCCCACGTCAACCGAAAGTGAGGGCTTGCCATTTGCTGATTCTAAGTAACTGATGCTAGGATTCGCCTTCCCTCCCCTCTGCCCACGTCATCTTGTGTCTGCCTGCTCCCCCACCGCCCCCCACACCAAGAGGTCTGCCTCTCTACCCTCCTGGGAGACCACCTACACCTCCCATTATCTGTCCCAAAGGTCTCACCTGGTCAGGCCCATCCTTGAGAAATGGAAGCCACAAACAGGGAAGTTTTAATAATAATACCCGCTGGCATTGCTATTACTTGCACCAGGCACTGTCTTAGGGTGAACATGGAATTATCTTATTCAATCCCGACCAGAACCTAATGAGATGGAAGCCATTACTATGATCATTGGACAGAACAGGAGACTGAGGCTCAGAGAGGCCAGGTGATTTGCCTGAAGCAACACAGCCAGTCAGCAGCGGCAGAGAATCTGAAGCCAGGTCTGTGTGGTTCCCAAGACCGTCACCCACAGAGCTCCTGAACCAGCACGTGAGATAAGTGCCCCTCACCCTGTCAGCAGCTGGCTGGGCTTGGTGGACTGGACAACTGTCATCAAATACGTGCTGCCCCTCCCACCGCACTGCAGTCAGGCATGTCCACGTGACTGGCTCTGGCCAGAGAAATGCGAGTAGAAGTGATGTGTCACATCTGAGCCAGTGTGAGCTTTAGCATGATCACTGTTCCCTCTGCCACAGCGCCTGGTGCTGTCCTGGACAGAGGCTGTCCCGCCAGCCCAGGTCCCAGAGTGGCATCTTGTGGAACAGAAACACGCCCGGCCTGTGATGGGCTTGATGGGAGAGCACGGAATACACTTTGGTGCTGTGAATCATGAGGTTTGGGGGTTGCTGTTATCACAGCATGACCTGGCTAATCCTGACTAACTCCCTGAGTCCACCTCTAAACCCTGGCTGTATATACGCTTATTTAAAAAACAAGACTCACCAAAGGGACCACATCCGACGCGCTGTATACTGGGCTCAACTCACTTCTTTCACTTAACATGTGCGCCTCAACGGCACACGTACTCACGGGAAGAGTGAGGGAGCCAGGGGCAGTGGGCAGGGCAGCTTCCCATGGCGTGGGACAGGGAAGGCGCTGCAGCCCGGCAGCCTGTGGCGCTGGCCAGATGCGCCTGTGCTTCCAGGCCGAGGCAGGTTCGTCAAGGTGTGGCAACCTCCAGACTAGCCAGCAGTCGCACAGGCTTCGTGTTAATCACCTGTACTGCTGCCCAATTCAAACTCCGCCTCCAGACCAAGTCCACCTCCCTTACCCAATGGCTGAACTTAATTCATCTGTAGTTCCCAAGGCTTCGAACACCTGGTCGTCTTTGGGCCTCCTTTCTCCAGTGAAGGTGCTAGAAAACCCTGTGGGGAAAAAAAATGTTCAGCTGCCAAAAATAAGATTTTTTCGCCGATATACATTTTTAGAAAAATGTCTATTTCAAGTGTAATAACTGAGCCAGGGCTGCCACACACTTTTTAATGGCTGCAAAGAATCTGGAAGAACTTTAAAACGGAGCCTGTCGTGTCTGCATTTTTCACCTTCCCCACCCTACCTTTGTCTCCTGTTTTGGTGTAAATCTTGGGGATCTTGGGTGTCTTCGAGGGTGGCTGTGGCCTAATGAGAAAACAGACATCAAGAGGTGGTGAGTGGGGGTGGCTTCCACGTGGGGCACCTCCCTCCCTCTATGCTGCTCATGGCCTCCGAGGCAGCACTCACCCCCTCATGCTTAACTCTCGTTGACATCGTTCCCCTCCATATCCCTCTTAGCTGTAAGCCCTTGTGGCAGGTTCTGTGTCTTGCCCACATCCATGTCTGCAGAGTAGCTGATGTAGTGCATTTTTCAATGCAGAAGCTCAATAAATACTCACTGAAATAACGTATCAATCACCTTTCCACAGCCCCTGCACTGTGCAGAAGGGATTGCCAAAATTATACCCTGAAATTGTCCCTGGAGTCTTCCCACAGCTCCAACGGTAGGCACTACCCATGACCATTTTACTATTAACTGTGGCTCACAAGACGAGACCCACCTTCCTAGGTCACCCAGGAGGGGAGGGCTGGGACTCAGGCCCAAGACCATCTTACTCCAGACCCCAAACTGTACCCTCTACTCTACCAAGTCAGGGCCTCTTGGGGGGGGGGGGGGGGGGAAGAAACATGGACCACGTCCTCTCTATGAAACTTCAAGATCCTCAGAAATAAAGAATTGCCAAAACAAGGTTAAAAACTGGCATTTCCAAATAGCCACATAACACCTATAATACAGGCTTCAACATTAAAATAGGACATTGCAAGGTTTTTCAAAGGTTAAGACACTGGATCTAGGAGTAACATCTGGCTGCGTTATTAATCATGGCACTCTCCGTTCCGAGGCCCGGGAAGGGGTGCGGGTTTCAAGGTCTAGATGATAGCCATGCTTCCATCGCGCAGTGCGCCTCTGGGTCTGAAAGTATAAGCCGCTTTGGGGGTCGGTGCACACTGAATGGAGGCCCTCCTGGCCGTGGAGCCAGGCGGGACGGCCTCTCGGCCCACAAGGGACATGCCCCGCCCTGAGCTTCGTGCAGAGTTTTCTTGTGCACAGAAACCTTGTTCTCTGGCTGCCACGGCGCCTACATCGCCATGGTGACGTCAGGAGGGAGGACTCACCCGGCAGGACGTCACAGCCGTGTGACGTCACTATGCGACGACAGTTCTGGGTGTCGGGTACCTTCCCAGCCAGGCACTTACCTGTCCCCGTCTTCTACGCCCGGGGAACCGCGGCTCTGGAAACGGGGACAAAGTAGCCTGCCGGCCGCGAGGCACCCGCGGAGGCCAAGGCGGCCCCCCAAAACCCACACAGCCATGTCCAAGCCGCTCGTCGGGGTTGACCCGGCCAGGCTCCCGTCCAGGTCCCGGGGTTACTCCACCTACCGCCCGCCGCGCCACCGCTCAACCTCTATTTCCATTGGTCCGTGCCTCTTGGCCCAGGGCGGGACACTCCCAGGGTCTCGTTTCCTATTGGTTCGCGGGAGGAGCTGGGCGGGGAAACCCGTGACGTCTTAGTAGACAGCACCTATTGGCCAATGCTCGCGCGCTCCGATTGGCTGAGCGGAAGGGGCGGCTCGTGCACTCTGGGATAGATTCCGGCGGCG